TCGGGATGAGAAGTTGCTGTCTATTTGCCCTGGCCCCTGGTTCTTTAGCACTGGCCTGTAGTATTATTTATGACCCTTAGGCAGTCCCACTCCTGGTACACCAGGAGGAACAACTGATGAGAACACGTATGGCAGCTTGAGTAATACAGTCAGCAATAACAACGGCATCAAGCAGAGCCTGGAATATGACAAACTGTGGTAACTATTTGCCACCTTTATCCATATAAACTATATTTGTGATTATATAACAAAATCTAAAATAAGCCAAAGCCAGGTGTGGTGGTACAGGCCTGTAATCCCAGCGCTTGGGAGGCTGAGGCAGGAGGACTTCTTTGCGTTCAAGGCCAGCCTGGGCTACAAAGTGAGTTCAAGGTCAGCCTGAACTGCATAGTGAAACCCTGTCTCAAAAAGACAATAAAATAAAATAAAACAAACCAGAAAATTGGATACAGTACATATGCCCTCAGTGTGGTGATTTTACCCTCAGAGGAGAAAATTTTAAAGGGATTGTGGTAAAAAAAAAAAAAAAAAATAGAGAAATTGAAGAAAAGGAAGAGATTAGAAGCAAGGCTGGAAGATAAAGGAAGATCGTGTGAACTTTGTGAGACTGGTGAAGACAGGAAGGAAGGAGAGAAGAAAGAAATAAAAAGAATAGAGAACAAGAAAACTAGAAACAATGCTCACACTCATATAAACAAAAACGACCAAGAAAAAACAAAAACGAAAGAAGAAGAAAAAATGTCCACTCAGTGTGTGCCTCTGCTACCACTGGTGGACAGAGTGGGCACACAGAGCCCAGACCCGTGTTGATTAATCCCAGAAAGCCGGTGGTAGATGTACAGTGGGGCAGTGGACGATCCCAGGAAGCCTGCACCTTTAGTTCCGCTGAAGTTCAGGCTGCTTTCTGGCTGAGGCTGGAGCCAGATTTGTTCGGCCTGCTGTCTTCTGCCGGCTTGAACTCGGTTCCCTGCCAGGTTGGACTTGGACTTCCTGGCGTCTTGAACTCGGCTCCATCTCACTGGGAGCCGCTCGATGGACTCTGCAGCTGCTCCAATTTCCGAGCTCAGATGGCCCCTCTCCAAGATGGCTCCCGGCCGATCGCCCTCTCCTGGGGGACTCACAACCACTGCGGTCTGCTGCGCCCACTGCTCTGTCCCACTGGCGTGTCTGCCTGGAGGCCTCTGAGTTCACCGGTAGTCACCGTGCATCTGCAGGTTCGAGCCCGTCCTCCTGTGCAGCGAGCCCGGGCTCGGGGAGAGAGTGCCGATCACCGCCTCTCCTCCTGTGCTGACGTCTCTTCGCTCTCCCTGCGGCTCAGATCCTTGCCCCACCTCTCTCCTCCTCTTCCCTCACATTGCTGTACTCAGCCGGAGGACGAATGTCCGAGGCAGCCTGGGCCTCACAGTGAGCCTGAGGCCAGCATGGTGAGATGCTGACTCAAAAAGACAAAAAACCGAAAGGGCTGGGGATGTGCCTCAGTGGCAGAGCGTTTGTAAGGCCTTTGCACCATGAACAGCCGTTCATTGTGGTCATCTTAGATTTTTACTGTGGCACAGTATGTGTAATGAGTATGTGGGGAACCGGAGCGGCGCCCTTGGTCAGGGCAGTGACCCCCCCCACCGCAGGAGCGCCGTCCTCGTCCTCCACTTTGGAGTGAGGGTCTCTCCACACAAGTCCTGGGGGACACTCGGGCCAGGGCAGAGTTCCAGCTCTTCGGGGGCCACCTTTGGAAACAGGTCTGGTGCTGAGGGTCACTTCTAGGTGCTCTGCGGACACAGCTCTAGAACGCCCATGTGCGCCCCTGGCAGCGCCCAGCAGCAGCAGGTCCCCCGCCCCAGCAGGTGTATGTCTCCCTAAGGAAAAGCGCTATTAAAAGGTCTCAGGAAAAAATAAAAATAAATAAAAGGTCTCAGGGCCTGAGGCAGAGACACCCAGCTGAGGCAGGCTGAGGCAGGCTGAGGCAGGAAGATCCCAAGTTCCAGGCCTGCCTGGGCAACTTAGTTAAGACTCCCTGTCAAAGTAAACTAAAAGATAAAATGAGCCGGTGGGGAGGGGAGTGCGGGAAGCTGGGTAGCGAAGCAACTGTCCGGCGTGTGTGAGGGTCTGGGTTGGACCCTCAGCACTGCAAGAAGGAGGAGACAAGAGGAACTGGAAGGCCTTGCTAAATTCTTCTCAAAGGGGCTGGGGATTTAGCTCAGCGGCACAGAGCCTGGCTGGCAAGTGCAAGGTCATGAGTTCGATTCCTGGTACCGGAAAAAATAAATAAATAAATAAATAAATTCTTCTCAGGCATCAGTGAGTCTCGGGCCAGTGGCCCCTGAGCTCAGTCGGATGAACTGCCCAGGGCCCAGTGGCCCCCAGAGGGAAGCCGGGCCCTGCAGGGCAGGGGAGGCTTCGGGACAGCCCTTCCCACCCAGGAAGGCCGTGGGTGCAGTCGAGGCTGGCGGCAGTGAATTTCTGTCCTCGCTTCCTTTGTGCGGTGCTGGGGTGAGACCGAGGGCCTCGTTCGCCCAAACCACACCGCAGCTGTCCCGGCCCCGCTGCATGTTCACTCTGAACGGGGTGAGGAAAGCCACCCGGTGTGCAGGGCGGAGAGCAGCAGCTGCACATGTGCTGGGCTCACCGGCGGCGGCTCCCGTTCAGGACCACAGGTGTGCACGGGTGAGGCTCGCCTCAACTCCCTCACCCCTCCCGCTGGGGACCCCTTCCCTGTGGCTGCCACACACGGCACCACACAGCCACAGCCACCCACTCTGTTGCAGTGATGCCCGGCTGCAGCGGTCAGGCCTCGGAGACAAGGGGTCGGCAGGCTGGCTCCCTTGAGGGCCCAGGGAGGATATCCCAGGCCCGTGCCCGCTTCCCAGGCTTTGGCCACCTCGGGAGCTCTGCTCTGTGGACACACTACCTGTGTGCTCTGTGGTGTTCTCCACGTCCCTGTGTGCATCTCCGCATCCAGATCGCAGGCTTTGCTTGTACCAGCCAAGCAGGTACCCGCCCCGGGACCCCCAGCCCCCCTCTCATGAGGCCACATCGTGTGGAGGTACAGCCCGGCTCGGCACGGACAACCAGGCAGCCCTGTCGGGACGGAGGTCCTGGGGTCAGGACTCTAATGCTGAGATCATGGGGGCATGGTCAGCTGGCAATGCTACTTAGACTCCCCCAGTGGCAGACATGCATGGCCACCCCTCTGTCGCCTGCCCAGGACACACCAGGAGCCTCCCCTGGGCAGGAACAGCAGTGCCTGGGGTTTGCCATCAGTGGGGCAGCAAGCACAGATGCGTCAGCAGGGACTCTCTCGGCCAGTCCAGGTGGCCAGGGACACAGGGCGGCATGTACAGTGACACCCGCCCCTGCACTGACTGACCACAGCCACGTGACAGGGTGACCACGGCTCTGCTCTGCGATGATGGGGCCGTTCCCCATCCCCCTTTCATGGTACTAGGAGTGGATCCTGGGGGTGCTCTACCACTGAGCTACATTCCGATCCCTTTAAAACTTTGTTTGAATTTTGGGACCGTGTCTTGCTAAGTTGCTGTGTAGCCCAGGTGGGCTCTAACTTGTGACTGCCTGCTCAGCCTCCCAGGGTGTGGGTGAGAGGCCTGCACCATCATGCTGGGCTCCACACCACACTTTTGTTTTTTGAAACCAGCATGAGGAGCCGTCAGACATTCGCTGCTCTCTACTTTCTTTCCCTGAGCCCTCCCATCTTCCGTCCCTTCCCTGCTGTCCTTGTGGGCTTGCGCAGGTGCCTCATAGGCTGGCAGGTGTGGAGACCTCTGGGCTTCCCCAGGGTGGCAGCTTGAGTCCCAGGGACACTGGAAACCAGTGGGTGGGGACCCTGACTGCATCAGCAACAAGCAGCTGAAATTCTGGCCCTGGGAGCCGAGGTGGAGATGGGGTGGAGGAGAAACTAAGGCTTCCACGGGGAACCAGAGCTGAGGGTGTTGGAGCCACACGGCCAGTGTCCAAGACTCATGAGGAGGCTGCTGTCCGGGAGCCTGACCAAGATGGGGTCCAGGGAGGGGTCAGCCAGGGCAGCATGGGGCCTCAGTGCTGGCCAGGATCTCTAGCCAGGAGTCAGTCCACACCCCATCCAGGGAGGGCAAGGTGGCCATGCTGGTCCCTCATGCGACCACTGGATGGCGCCGGGCCTCTGTGGGCACCCTGAGCCCAGGCAAACCCGTTGTGGCTGTCCCGACCAGGGCAGGGTGGACACCTGGCCAGTGACCCTAGAGGGAACGCCAAGCTGCAGGTCCTGGTAGCAGAGAAGCCTGGCAGGTGGCAGGTGGGAGACCTGGACAAGCCCATCTACTCTGCCCTCCCCCCAGCCTAGGCCCAGCATGGTGGCCTCTAGCCCTCTGGATGTTGCCTGAGGCTGGCGGGTCAGACACTCGCCGAGCCCACGTGGACAGGGTGGGAGCATGGCGTCTGCCCTCATGTGGCTCTGAACTCCAGTGCCGGCTTATCTGCCAGAGGCTCGTGAGGAATGTGGGCCGCCCAGGGAAGGGTTCACCTGACAGCCAAGGTGGGAGGGGCGTCTTCCTGGTGGGCTTCATCCTGGCCATGTCCTGGGCTGGAGCTGAAGGGGACACTGAGCCTGGGCACTTCTTACCTGCCCCACACCTTTCTGGGCGGGGCCCTTACCACATGGCACTGGCTGCAGGGAGGGCGTGGGGCAGGGCCTGAGCTGGGGTCCCAGGGGTGTCCTGACCAGAGCTGCCCTCGGGCCAGGCTCTCCCTGCCTCCCACCTGTCAGGGCCCACTGGCTGCCCCCCCGCGTGCCCACACTGGCCTCAGTCCAGGTGCAGCCAGCCCAGCACATCTCCAGCCAGCCTCCAGGACCCAGGGCCCCATGGTCACTGTCACACTAGGACACCCCAGGCTCAGGCTCCCGGCTCCCAGCTCTGCCAAAGTCAGCTGTGCGGTTGGACAGGTTCATCTGCCCGCCTGGGCGGTCCATGGGGCGGGGCCCAGGCCGGCCTGGGTGGGGCACCCAGGGAGATTTAAAGAGCTCCAAGGTCCCCGCCCTGTGCCCTGCAGCAGGTCGGACAGCTGAGCTCCACCATGGCCGAACCCGCCAAGCTGCAGCTGTTTGTTAAGGTTCTGGGCCAGCTGGGCCGGGGAGGAGCTGGGTGGTGGGTCTGAGCCCCTTCCCCTGCAGTGGGCTCCAACAGCCCCACCGAGCCCAGGCAAACAGTCCCAGGCAGTCACTCCAAGGTTTGGGCAGTCCAGCCCTGCTCCAGCCTTGGCTCTGGGGCCCAGCCGGCTCTCCTGGAGGACAGTCCCTTGGGGATGTGGCAGCCAGCGTCAGGGCTAAGCAGACCCCACCCTCAGGTCAGGGTCCAGATCTGTGTTTGGGAGCTGCCCGGCCTCGGCCCCTTACCACCCTGGAGCTGGGAAAGCCGTGCACTGCCAGCCACAGTGCCCAGCTCAGTGGGTGAATCCTCAGAAAACAGCTGGAGGGGCCCACCTCGCCCTTGCAGCCGACCCAGGGGCCTAGTGCCTCAGGGTTTGGCCTGTGTCCAGGCTCTGAGATAAGTTCCAGGGGGCAGTTCCCTGCTGCCCACCCCCTCCCTGCCTCCGAGGAGCCGAGTCAAGGGCTCTCACTGGGCTCTGGGACAGGCTGTGCCCGGCCGAGCCAGACCCTGGCGTGGCCCCAGTCCCGCGGCAGTAAGAGGCAGGGGCCCACCCAGCCGGGCGGCAGATTCCAGGGTCTGCTCCCAGCCCCATTCTCCCGCTCTGCCCGCCCAGGCCAGTGAGGACGGAGAGAGTGTAGGGCACTGCCCATCCTGCCAGCGGCTCTTCATGGTCCTCCTCCTGAAGGGGGTTCCCTTCACCCTCACCACCGTGGACACCCGCAGGTGAGGCCCAGGTCCGCCCCTGACCTCCCCCTCTCCCACCTGGGGCTGCCTCTTCCCTTCCCCTTGATGCCCACAGGGCGCTGGACGTGCTGAAGGACTTCGCGCCAGGCTCGCAGCTGCCCATACTGCTTTACGATGGGGACGCCAAAACCGACACGCTGCAGATTGAGGAATTTCTGGAGGAGACGCTGGGGCCGCCCGAGTGAGGGCCGCGGGGCGGGAGGGGCGGGTGGGGTGGGGTCGCCACAGGACCGAGCCGGGGATGCGGCACGATAGGGGTGCGCGCAGGGGTCCGGCCCGGCCCCTCATGCCAACCGCCTCACAGCTTCCCCAGCCTGGCACCGCGGTACCCGGAGTCCAACACGGCGGGCAACGACGTCTTCCACAAGTTCTCCGCGTTCATCAAGAACCCAGCGCCCGCGCAGGACGACGGTGAGGCTCGGGCGGTGCGGGGGAGGGCGCGCCGGG